AAGGGAAGAGGGCAAAGAGTTGCTCAAAAAGATGTGTGCCAGCAGTTGACGCAGCAGCGCATGGTGCAAAAGGCAATAACACAGTGAAACAGGGAAGAAAAAAAAAGCGGAATTATTCGGGAAAAAAATAAAAATAAAAGAAACACAAACACATCATGCATGTCAAAAAGCAGTACCACAAATCAGCTACGTTCCTCACGCCTTGGAAGCCTTGGCCTTGCGAGCGGCGCGGGCCTTCTCAATGCGCTTCTTGGCGGCCGGCTTGCTGTCAACCTTCTTGGCGTTCTTCTGCAGCTTCTTGAGTGCGATCTTGTGCCACGAGACGGGCTTCTTCTTGTCATTCTGGTCAAAGATCTTGCGCGTCCAGAAGGCACGAGAGCGCTTGGCGACACGCAGCTGGTAGCGTTCAAAGTCGGTCGACGTCGCGAGTGCCTTCTTCGCCGCAATGCGTACGGCAGCCTTCGTGGCGGTGTACTTCTCGAGTGTCTTCTTCTCCGCAAGGGCCTCCTTCAGTGCCTTTGTGCTGCAGTTGCGGTTGATGGGCACCCTGAACTTCAGCGGCTCAATGTTCTTCAGGTTCTGCACGTGACGCCACATCTTTTCGTCTGCGGGGTTCTCCACGAGCACGCGGTTGCCGTCGATGATGTCAACAACAACCCCGACACGGTCCTGACGAGGGCCGCGAATGATGCGCACCAAGCGACCGGCGCGAATGTAGTTCGCCTTCACCATTTGGAGCCTCTTTTTGACTGGCACAATAGAGAGATACAAAAGCCGAGGCAGAATGAAGAAACGAATCAAGACGCATGTAGTGCACACATGTCGCCAGAATCAAATGTGCATGTCCACACATATAAAGCAAAAAAAAAACGGAGTGAGAAAGACCATTAGAAAGGAAGAAAAGACGCAGAAGAATGTGCATCATCTCCTGCGTGCAAGGCGGAAACACAGTTTCCTTTGATCATGGTGTTTTTCTCTATTTGTTTGCTTATCATGTTTATTTTGCTTGCTTGTGTTACTCCATTACCCAAGCAGGACGCAGAAAACAAAAAAAAACACATTGCTGTCACTGCCTTTGCAATCAAACAGGAAGCTCAGAGAAAGCAATGAATGCGTCTGTCATGAGAAGACTCGAGGAGTGTAATGTATCATACAAGGAGTACGTCTCGTATACATGGAAGGCCAGCTGAATGCCTACCTGGAGACGTGTGCGGTCAAGGCGGTAAAGCGACACCAACGCTGCACCAATTGGTGTCTCATCACCGTCTCTTGGTCGCACCTCTGTGAGATTCAGTCGTGCAAATTGTTTGGAGCTGGCACCTGGCCATTTTATTAAAACAAGCTGATCATCCCAACGCAGACTTCCGCTTGCGCTCTGGTAGCTTGCATTCGTCTCACCCTTCACTACCTGCCAGCCCTGTTGATCCAGTAGCGTGAGGCTCACCTGGAACGAAGGAGAGATGCCCGTTAAGACCTCATATACCATGGGGAAGCCGCGTATTGTTCCAAGATGAATCGTACACTGACACGTCTTTTCTGAGAGATTCAAGGGGGGTCCGTCAAGTGCAAATCGTTTCGCATCATCTGGCATCATCCATGCGTTGTGGTTCTCCTGCGCCCAAGCATCACCCGTAAAACTTGAATCAAACCCCGACGTCGTTAACCCTGCGGTCAGTGCACTAACGACAGGGACACCGTCCGCACGCACCAAGACATTTTCACCCTTGTCTTTGTCCAGTGCCACAATAACACCCTCCGCCCCCAGTCCAGCCACGCGACCATTTGAAACAAGACGAAACACAGGCAAAAGTGCGCACACCAATGGAAACTCCTGTGACATAGAAAACTGTCTGTTTGTGATGCATGTTGTGTTTAACCAGTAGAGGTACGGTGTGTCCGCTGACTTTGGCTGAGGAGAAGAGTTATGAACACTAATTGTAATAGGTGCAGAGGGAGGCTGTGAACCATTAACCAGAAGCTGCATTTGAAGCTCCTTCATACATGCCCGTTCAGAAATACTCCAGGTTGCCGTAAAATATACGCGTTGTTGCGGTTTTACCGTGATAACTTGGGAAGGCTCCACCGAAATATAATCTCGCGCGTCCGCGAGGGGCACTAGTTGCATGGCTAACGCACCATTTTCCGTCATGTTCATGGCACACATCGCACTAGACACGATGTACTCCCCAGTTCCAGTCAACACAAAGGAAGGAAAGTAAAAATCTAGCGTTGATACCCGTACAGAGCCAAAGTTGTACTCCAATGGGGCAAACTCATCTCCATGACGTCCATCCCATGCGCTGCTACGTATCTCAGCCTCAACAATTGCAAACACCGTTTTCGAATCGAAAGCAGTCTGGGTAGGAAAAAGATGAACGCAGTATTTGGCATATTGTCGTTTCTCTGTTACCATTCCAGAGCTGTTGATTAACCCTGTTCCGTATATTGAGAGCGCGTTCTTACCCCCGATAACCTCCAGCACTAACATGGGCCCTTGATGGCTGGGAACCTCAATGCCTACCGCCTCGCTCTCGCCATCTGCCCAACTAACACCCGTCCAGCCCGTGTGACTCCCAATCATTTGGGGAGTGGTGCTGCCCAAGTGTTCCGATTCGTTCATCACGCGAATCGCAATGGGCTGATCAGACCCCCACTGTCTCTTTACACGCGCCAACCACTGACTGTTTTCCTCTGCCGTATCCGTAAAAACAATGCGGTTTATGTACAGCTTGTATGTCTCAGGTTGATGCGTGACTGGTTTTACCCAAAAGGACATGTTGGCATCAATTGGAGCGCTCATTGTTAATATTGTAAAATACTATTGGAATCGAGCACCACAAAAAAAAAAACCCACAGAGATTCAATATAAGCCGCGATGTACGCAAACACTCTTCAGACGTGCTTGGGTGTCAGAGTTAGAGCCAACTTCACCATCCAAACTTGTTTGTATAATGCCATTGAATGTGAAAAAGAAAAACAAAAAACAAAAAAAAAGGGGGTGGGGTGGGGTGTAATAACAAGGCAGGATACGCCAGAATACAAAAAAAAAAAACTACGCACACATGAGCACAGCTAAGAGCAGCTAATTTCGCAAAAACTACACTTCTTGAGGGCTCTCACCCTATCAGGCAAAAGAATGAGACAAGTCAAATGACAATAAAAGTTCACATGGGCTGGCCAACACCCCCGTTTTCAGCGCAGCTTAAAAATAAATAAAACGCGTATATGAATATCAAGCGCTCAATCCGCGTGTTACGAATGGGCAGCTCTGTTGGTTCTTCCTCTTCTCTCTCTCTCTCTCCCCAGTGGCACACGACGCTGCTGCAGCGAGGCTGGCCCAACGGAACTCGGGTGAAATGAAAAAAAAAAGACAAATGCATCACACTTTGTTAAAACCCAATCACAACCTACTCATGCTTCGCCAAAGTGAATGCAAAGAAAAAGTGACGCAAAAGTCTTCCAAGTGGATAAAGTAACAGGCATGGCCTCATCTACTCGCGAGCCTTTTCCCAAAGCCTCACACAACGGAACGTGATATAATGAAGCAGAGGCACTCACATGGCCAAATAAACAACAACAAATTTCAGGAGTGAAAAAAAGTCAAAATAAAAAAAACAGTTGTAGAGCGGATGCAGACGCCTCTAACGACAGTAACCTACCAGCATTCATAACCAATGTCCAATTCACCCGCCTTCGCTACAATAATGTCCTCATCGTCATCTTCCTCGTCGCTGTATTCATTAGCGTTCTGACCCTCTTTTTCCCTCAGCTTTTGATTTTCTGCCTCTGGAATAATGTTTTCCTCAAGTCTCTTATCAGCCTCAACCTCTCGCAGTTGTTCTCCCTTTTCAAATGCGCCAAGCAGACGCGAACCACGGTGACGGTTGAGAATGGCCAATTCTCCAAAAACTGCAATCGCACGTTGAATTTCTTCTTCAGTCATCTGCACATCCTCAAAAGCTTCCATGACAATTTCAGGTGCATCACTCTCGTCATCATAATTATCATCCACGTAGTCATTTTTGAAAACAGTCATCGTCGGTTCGAATGACTTTTGTTCTTCCTCACCTCTAGTAACAGGTTCATCATGCTTTTCATTGACACCAACACACGTTTTCTCATTGAGAGGGTATCCAACGGTGTAGGCCAGCGCCCGTATCAAATTCTCAGGAAATAGATCGGCTCTAACTTCCTTTATGGCCAAGGCAAGATAGTAGTCCATACACTCCCTAAGATCTCGCACGAGCAAGCCCACAGGTAGGGACGTCACATACACTTTCTTATCTCCATCAAAAAACAGCACTGCAAGATCCTTTGCTTCCTCTTCTCTCTCCAAAGTAAATGGAAATGCCGGTGCCATTTTGCTTTCCTCATCCATGAGAAAAGCTGGTGACACTTCGGTAAAAGGTCGAAGTGTGAGCTCACGAAGACATAAAGCCGTCTCCACGGGTGTCACGGCTGTAGCATCAAACAATGTGAGATTTGCCTCAAGATACATCCGTTCATGGTAAAAAACAAACGCTCTATCATTGAAATCGTCTCGATTTTGCATTGCTACGGCAGACCCCATACTAAATTGGGCAGCTTTATTATCCCAGCAAAAAATTTCTGCCCTTCTCCTGTTGCGTTTCGCTCGATACTCCACCGATGCAATGCGAGGATAAAAAGACCACAGAGCTACCAGCCGAATTAGACCCAAGTTCCCGGAGTATCGGGAAGCCATTCGCATAGGATCATTAGACTTGCGTAATAATGAAGAGTCTTTCACAAGACGCAGCAACTGATTTCGAATTCGATCCATCGAACGCAATACAGTCTGATCTGCAAACTGCCGCATCGCGTAATCAGCGCTACAATTGGATTTTTTCCATTCATCAAATAATTTCATAGCACATAAATGATCTGAAAGTAAACCGTTGTCAATGTTTTTTATGGCATTTCGCATGGCTATCTTCTGCTCTGGCAAGGGTTTAATAAATGGTGATTTCCCAGAAAGATAGGCAGCAATCGTTGCGATTGGTTCCAAAACTCCTAGACATGCAGCTGCGAGAAGCATTTTACCCAAAAGAGGATGAATAGGAAGCCTTGAAAGAGCTCTACCAAGATTTGTCAATTGCTCTTTTTCATAGGTAAAGGCACCCATATCTTTTAAAAATCTAATTGCATGTTCCACAGAATCTGCTGGTGGTGAATCAATAGCACGACTCAATGCTTTTGCACAACCTTCATCTGGTTTCAAAGCTTTTACGTGTAAGCAAACCTCTTCCAGTGGAGATCGCATAATTTCTGGTAAAAGAAATTCAGGAAGTTTGCCATATTCAGCTCTGGGAAGAAGATGAACACATAAACCTGCTCTACAGCGTCCAGCTCGACCTCGGCGCTGCATACCATTCGCCTTACTGATATACGTAGCTTTAAGAACCGATGTGTTTCCCCCAGAATCGTACGATGTGCCTTTTGTTAAGCAACTATCAATAACATATACAATATCATCAATGGTTACACTTGCCTCCGCAATATTGGTAGAAAGTACTACTTTTCTATATCGCTTGGGCGCTCGGTAAAACACTCTTTGCTGCTCTGCTGCAGTTAAACTAGAGTGAAGCTGTAAAACGGACAACTCTCGAGCAATAGAAGATCGTTGAATCAAGGTAGTCACTCGACTAATAGAAGCCCATCCTGGAAGGAATACCAAAATGCTCTCCGATAGGTCATGCGAGCGCCCATGAATATAAGAAATCAACTTCAGCACAAGATCAAATGGGACTAAGGCCTCTGGATCACGACCTGTTTCCTCAAAAACAGAATCTTTAATCCTTTCGAAAAGAGAGTGACTATTTCCATCCCCCGAATCCTCCTTCGTGGTTTTCTTTTCTGAGACATTAGACAACATGGAGATAGCAGGAATTGCCGAAAGGGGCATCTGAGTCCATTTTAAAGCCTCCTCAAGAAAACATTCCTCTACAGGAAACAAAGTCCCTGGTATGCTAATGACAGGTGGTGCCTTTCCACCACAAACATCAGCAAAATACGAGGTTACTTTATTTATTTGTATAGTAGCAGACATAACCACAACCTTTACATGATTTTTGTAAAGTGGATTTTTCCGCTGTTGTTCCATTAGCCTGTCACGGAGCAGCAATAAGCAAAAATCTGTCTCGACATCTCTTTCATGCACTTCATCCACAAGGATGCAAGAAACACCATTTAGCTCCGGATCAGTGTGTAGGCGACGCAGTAGTATCCCAGTTGTCATGTAAACAATCTTGGTGTTAGAGCTCGTTGTGTTGTCAAAACGTATAATATAACCGCAGCTGTCTCCACAACTTTCACCACGCTCTTCTGCAACACGTTGTGCAACAGAGAGTGCACTGATTCTCCGCGGCTGCGTGCAAATGATTTCCAGATCTTTCTGAAATACACCGGAATCATACAGCATTTGAGGTATTTGAGTTGTCTTACCACATCCAGTATCTCCACTCACAATCAAAACATTGTTGTCCCTCACAGCATTAACAATATCATCTCCTCGTTTATACGCAGGTAAAGACTTACGAAATTCCTGCAACTCCTCATACCTCTGATGTTGAACATTTCCTTGAGGAACTGTATTTAGTCCTGGCTGTACAACATTTAAATGACGTGCTCTTGGGGGTTTCTCAGCTGTCGCTTTCAATTGTCGATACATTTTTCTCAGAAAAGGAGTTATTAAAATTTTGATGTCATTCAATCTTAATCTGACATCATCGTCAGGAAGTCTTTGAGCACCTTGGTATCCATCAATCGTTTTTACACGAATACCGTTAAAGGCCGCAAGTTCCCGATCTTTTTCCTGAGTGGCAATACTTCCAATTTTTTTTAACGTTAAGACACGTTCAGACATGCTCCCTGATGAACGATGCTGCAAGTTAAAATTCAATGCAGCTTGATGTACTAAATGACGTTCCGCAGCTGACAAGGTTGGGGGAAACGACATTTCATTTGCATTCGGGTCGTCTACAAAGGCCTTAACCATAGCATGTAGATTTTTCTTTGTCCAAAGAGATACATTACTATCAGTACGTTCATGTGAATTTCCTACATCTGGAACTTTAACAGAATATTGTCCGTGAACATAATTCTGAGCCACCCCCATTCCACTATTACCGTAATGAAGTCTCCCACCTCTCCCATGTCTTTTCGACAGTGTGGTTCTGTTAGCCTGAGGAGGACCACTTGGTACAGGCCCAAAAAAGCCGGGACAGTTTCCCTGTGGATACACATAATGAGCTTGGGGTATCTGAAGGACTTGTTGCATCCCCCAGCTATGTGATCCGTCCAAGCAAATCATTTGTTGCAACTGCGAGACATGAAATGGTTGGTTAGTAGAGGCACTGTTAAAATGGGGTGCTGGCAACCCAGTACGTTGAGTATTGCTCTCATTTCTTCGTCTGGCAGGCATTGGGTTGAGACCTGATATACCCTCAAAAAAAAACCAATAAACAAAAATATATATAAAAAAGTGTGTTTGCGCTTATTTTGCGATTAACTTTAGACAATAATAGAATACATAGAAAAAGGAGTGAAACATGTAAAGCAGAAAATCAAAATGACCAGAGTGAGAAGGAATAAGTAAACAAAGATGAATAAGAAACCATCCAAAAGCAAAATCAAAACACGAATAATAATAATATGGAATCAAAAGCAGATAGGCGCACAATTACAAATCACCAACTATATCCTCAGTTGGATTTCTATTTGATGAATGATAATATTCCTCTACCGCATGGTTTAATTCTTCCAAAAGCAAAGGGTCATTAAGACTCTCCTCAAGTGTTTGAAATCTTCTAGTATCTGAAGTAGTTATCTCGCGCATAACGACATCTTTCCATACACCTGACTCAGATGTATATGACGTAACCATTAATTCGAGCGCAGCAAGATTACCATACATCCATCTACTCAGTCCAACATCAATAGCAATGACACTATCATCACAAAATAGTTCCACATGCCCTGACCTCTGTGGTGTATGCCCTACAACTATCCTTTTTGCTCCCATAGAGGAAAGCAATTTTCGAATATTTGCGCAGCGACCATTTGTCGCATCCATTATCATTTTTCGTGTCCACAACGGACCAAAAGCACCAAGGAAGGGGCTTCGATAGTCTTTCATGCGAATTGCCTTTATTGTTTCTTCGTTTAACCTGTCCACTCCCATTGAAGCAAAATGCTCATTAAGACCCGCATGAACAAACAATGTCTCTGCATCAAAATACAACACCGTAAAATTGGCTAATATAAAGCTTCCAAACGTGCCACTGTGCTCAAATAGACGCCTCCGCAAAGTCTTGGTCAAAAATCCACCCATAGATTCAGGATGGACGTAGTGAAACTGATGTTGAAGGTTAAGTAACTCGTGATTTCCAAGAAGCAGCACAACATTATCATTCGTATGATTTGATTTAACCTGATCAAAGAGAGAAAAAAGTCATTTCGAGAACACCCAAATCATCTTCCCCCCGATCTATTAAGTCGCCCATTTGTATAAGGGTTGTTCGAAGTTTGGTAAAATGGGTTTTGTGTAGTTCAATCTCCCTCTCATTCCACATCGGCTTCCAGATTACATTTTTGTCGGTGTTTGAGGAATATGATATAAGACCCGCCATAGATAAAATTTTCCGAAAATTGTCCGTATCACCATGCACATCCCCAACTGCAACTATGCGGTGAATTTCAAGTGGTATTGTGTGATCGGTAGCATTACGCACTCTGCTTTCCCCATAACAGACATCTACAAGAGATCCAAGGAGGAAAAACAGTAGCAAAAGCAGCAACGCCACCAACCTCATAAAGAGCCCTAAAAAAAATATACAATTTACTAGAATAATAAAGGAAAAAAAAAAAACAATAAAACATGTTTCACGACAAAAAAAAAGTAAAAAAAAATGACAAAAACAGAAAAAACACAGGCAACCACCACGGGCCCAAGCAAAAACCCCCAACAGAATACAAAACAAAAAGATATCAACGACACAACCAATAAGATAACAACCAAAAGAAAAAACAAACAAGAACACGGTAAAATGGCAATACCAACAATACGAGAAAAAAGGACTGCCAATAGCAACAAGATGTTTTTTTTTTGAATTTTTAGTTACATTGTTCATTTCGCCGAGGCGCCCTGCATGCAGGGGTTGGCGGGAAAAAAAAATCCATACAAGCTGCTGGAAAACCACCTGCCCCGCCGCGCTGCTTTGCTGCTAGGGCCGTGCGCACTGGCCCGGCCACCGGTGTCGAGACGACACGGTTCCTTTGCAGGCACTCCCCCTCGGCAGTTTAAACGCGTATGTTAAATGCATTGGAAGTTAGGGCTAAAGTCAGGGCCCGTGAAATAATGGGAGGCTGCCGGGGAATGTGGCCCCCGAAACCACGCCCGCGCTCGCTGCAGCGAGAGCTTCACCGCGGGCCGCGTTCGGCACAGGCTTTGTTGGCTGAGAGAGCTGAAAACGCCCGTGGAGAAACTCGGCCTGTTGGCCCCCCGCGATCTGCTCTGTCTGATTCAGCGCATCCAGTCCAAACTGGACTCTGAGGAGCCGGAGTGCCGCATACACTCACAGGTGGGCCGACGATCCCACACACTTCTCCCTCATCAGTTCATGATGTCTCTTTTACTTGAGGAAGTGGGTGCCCACGCGGCGCTCAGGAAATGCATGGCGAGACTTGCTCCGCTCAGAAAATCCCCTTCGGCAGTGGGAGTATGAAAGCCTTGCGGGCACTGGTGCCCGAGCCAAATACCCCACCACTATCTATCCCCCGCCTCGTTATTGGGGTTTTATAGCGGGGCGTGTGTGTGCGTGCGCCTGTTCAGTGAAGGCCTGACCAAATATCCTCCGATGGGGGAGGGGGAGGGGGTGTGTGGCTCTTAAGTTATAAAAAGCGGTGAACAACAGCAACAACGAGTGACAGAGGTAGACATTTTTCATCATTACGAAATTGCATTGTTAGGGAAGGGGGGGGGTTGCCCCAGCGATTTTTGGGCTGTATTTGTAAGACTAGTCCTTTATTAGGCGCAGGTGCTATTGATTCGATTTTGAATGTTTTGAGAAAATGAAGCCAATGTCTTGGTGATAGCTTTTCACTGTGGTTCTTCTTTGGGGAATTGGTTACTTTTGTGGCCACCTTTACAATCTATGGCTTTTAAAAGGTTAGACGGAGGCATGTTAAATTAAGAAAAACACGTGTCGTAAAGGGAAATGACACTGAACTTTGTTGTTTTAGTCACTGTGTGGTAATTATTTACTTTCTTGCGCGATGCAGTCTTTTATGACGGCACACACTAAATTATATATTTATAGTGGCATACGTTCTCTCGGTTATTATTATTTTTTGTCGTAACTTGCAGAAGTGGTGTGCTTTCTTGTTTTTGAAGGAAAAGAAAAAAAACTCCTCTGTGAAGGTTTTTACTTCTTTTTTGCTTTGTTTCATGGATATCGTTTTTTGTTGTCACTTTTCTTTTTTGTAATCATCACAATAATATGTGAGTTTTTTATATCTATTTGCCAATTTTTGGAGGCAATAAAGACGCAAACGGATATAAATAAAGGAACATTTTTTTTTTTAAGGATGCGTCTTTTACTGCCGTGTTGCCAGCCAAAGGCTCTAACACATCTATTTTTCCACGCTTGAGAGGCCTGTGTGAAAATTGAGGGACTAGTTCAGCCGAGTAAACGTAGGTTGTTGCCTCGTCGTCATCGTAAACTTCACATGCTAACGCTTAGTGAAGAAAATGAGGAGAGACTCCGCGACTTTTCGCCTCTTAAACCTGCTGTTCCAGCAGGGTGGAAGCCGGAACATATCGTGGGTAGCAACAGGTTTGACCTCTGAAAAACGGTAGAAGTTCGGAGTTGTGGTAAAGAAGATTTACATGTTTTGGTAATGATGGAGCTGAAGGAATATGAGGGAACATATCGTATGGACAACGGAGAACGCGAGGAAGAAGAATACTTATTTTTTACGTTGTTTGTTCAGAAGCAACGCTTTCAAGGTGCTTTGGAGTTTGGGTTAACTTCCATAGACATGGAGTTGGTGATGGATTCACTGACAATTCACAGTAACGGAGAGGAGCTGGATGACGCTTATGGTGCTCTTTCAGCAGTAACGAGTATGAATAACTTATCCGAGAAGTGTATTGAAAAGAGTAACCTTCTTTGTCAACGCAAGAGAGATACTCGATATCGTGGACCAATGCTGAGCGAGTTGGATGATGACTTCTCTGACGAAGTATTGGATTATCTTGATGAGCGTGGTGTGAACAACGGATTTGCTGAGTATATAATGGTTCAGGCACACTTTTTTGAACAGGAGGAGTACATTAATTGACTACGACTTTTGGAGCAGTTTGCTGAATAGTTTTTTTTTTTTTTGCGTTGCTCAACTAAGGAAAGGTGAGAATAGGTTGATTTTTTTTTTATTGCGAGATATGATATGACTACATAAATATGTATTGTTTTCTTTATTTGAATTCGTTTTTTTTTCTCATGTTGTTTGTTGCCACGATTTTTTTGCGAGTTATCTAGTTATTTGTTTCTGAGGCCATACACATACACATAGTGATAGATACAGGTAAATAAAACCACAGACAGTATGCTTTTGCAAAGCCGTATCTATCGTAGCTACCAAAGGGGCGGTTGGTGCCCTGGGTCAAAACACCAAAAACATATGACTATGAATCCGACTTTGTATTTGTATAGATTTCCCGGTCCACGGGGACCAGGGCCGTATACAATGAAGTATTGGTGGACCCTGGGATGTTTTCCTACTGGCAGAGAAATGCCATTCCGTTTACAGGAATTTTTGTTAACTTACCAGCAGGAGCACGTACCGATTGAAGTGGAAGAGTGGCTGCGTTGCTTTGTGAAAGATCCATTGCAGGAACTTCAGAACGCTTCCAAAGCGTTGTTTGATGCAGCTGAAGCGTCTCCAGAAATGGAGTCTACGCGTGGTTATAGAGCAATTCAACCAAGTATAATACCTTTACTAGCGCCAATGGAGAAATTTGGGAGACAACTTGGCGTTAAAATTTCTCCTACTGGGCTTCGTGCTGTTCTTTCTAATACCACACTAAAGGAACGTTTTTTGGATGATTTGTTTGAATACCAGGAGATACTTGAGAAAGAAGGAAGTACACCCCACCGTCGTTTGGCTAGAAGAAGCCTGGAGAAATTATTGCCTGAAGGAGAAGCAGGCGAGTCTTTTGTATCTACACAACAGATTGTTCCAGTGAGCAAAAACCTGGGCAATTTTGTAGGAGCTGTCATTTCCCCTCCGGATACCACTGCGGCTGATGAAAGGAAATTAATTCATTTGTTAACAACCATTTCAGAAGGTTGTGCTGGTTGTGGCCACTATGACGATGCAAGATCAATGTTAGCTGGTGCACTGATGTTTTGTCATGACGCAGATGCACAAGCTGTTACTCATGCAAATTTGGCTATTAGTTCCTTTTTGAATGGAGATTTTAGGGAGGCCGAATACAATGGAAGAGAAGCGGCACTTCTGCAACCCGAGGCAAAATATGTTTCCTCTGCAGGGGCTAGGGGCTACGCGGTGTGGGCTGCTGCTGTAGCATATCAAGATGATTTTGACCGGGCGGAAAGAATCATACACGATGCACTTGCTTTGTACTCGGGTAATGAAGAGCTTAAAAACATGTCGGCACAGCTTCAAAAAATACGTGTTGCGCAAGCATCTTTATCTTATAGTGGAGAGGTTCCAGAATTGCTGAGAGGAAGCAGGTGCCATTTGCCGTCGCAGCAGTCAAAAGCTCTTGCTAAGGGAAATGGGAAGGGGTTTGATAATGAATTTGATTGGGTGTTGTTTAAGAACAAACTATATCCAAGCAAAATGAATCCAAGCACCAATGAAATGGGTTCTGTCTTTCGTCGTGTAGGTGATATGGGAATGCTTATTTCAAGTTCAAGATCCATGGAACGACTGTAACATTGTGAATAATACGTAATATATATATATATTGTAATAGGCGCCTATACAGATGCACATCTCTAACGAAGTGAAGCTGCTGCTAATGCACTAAAGGCAAACTGGTAGCAAGATCCTTTTTTTTTTTTTGATTTTTTTTTTTTTTTTTGGTAGGGGGAAGAAATATTGCTTTTTTGACAGTTAATAACAATGCTCATGTTACCAGCTGAGGCCTTTGAGGAGCGTCACCTGCAGCGCAACGATGGAGACAAAGTCATTCCAGCATCTCTAGCCCTTGTTGCTGCGCTTGAATCTGGACACCGTTTGAAACTTTCCTCTGTAGAAGAGGCTGCCGGTTCCGCAAAATACTGTGGATTTTTGACAAAGGAAGAGTTTGTTGCACTCTGTGAAAAAAACCCTGACAATTGTTTGGATGCGTCTGTGATGGCGAAACATGTTTCTGTGCTTGCACCAGATGGGTTTTTCACTCGAGCGTCACTTCAGGAGGTGGCTTTAAAGGCAGGTTCAACTCAAGATTCACTGAGCGCTGATGAAGTCGATGCCCTTTTTGATCTTCTAGATGATGAAAATACCGGCTCTATTTCTGCTGAAAGGCTGATGGAGGCTGTCTATGGAGAGGAAGGGAAAGTGGTTTTGGCGAAACAGAGAAAAGAGTATGCGACTGCAAAGGCGGAAGAAGAGAGGCAACGAGCTGCCAGGGAGGCAGCAGCGGCTGCTGCTGCTGCTGCTGCTGCTTCCAAAAAGGAGGAACCCAAACAAGCACCCCCACCTCCAACACAGACAAAGAAGAAGACTATGTGTGGATGCTGAGAAAATGGGCCGGAGCTTACTTTCCAGAAATTACTGAAGGTTATAAAAGACCACATGAATCGACCGGGAGATAGGGGGAAGATTTAATTTTTTAATAAACCTAGAACAGATTCCGGGAAAAAAAAACAAAAAAAAGAGAACAAGGGAACTTTCAAATTTCTTGCTCGATTTGGCATTGATTAGGTCACATGCGTATATATATTTCTGGGTGTGGTTAGGGGATACAAATGAAAGCGCGCAGAAAAAGCAGACAAACTATGTAGCATCAAAATCAACATCAAGAGCAGGAAACAAAGATGAAGACAGCAGCAGCAACGCAAAAAGGTAGAAAAAAAAAAGGAAGGAAGAAATGTATGTAACTGTGGTATTCTTCTTCAGGCTGTGGCGCCGATTTTGAAGAAAAAAAAACATCCTTGATTTGTCTTCTCTTCACCTTGTCGCATCTTTTTATTGACAGATGCTGGTGGATCCAATTTGCGTATTCCTATTTTATTTATTTAATTCTGAAAATGTGAGTTAGTGAGGTAGAATTTCAAAATAGGGGCCTTTTATTCGCCACGATCTATGCCTTGCTTAACACGTTTGGTGCGGAGGGTTCACGGAGGTGTGTTGCGCAATTTTTTGTCGTATCCACTTAATGAAGTTAATCCACTTGTTTTTTTGGAAATTACGGTGGAAGGAGACGCATTGGGTCGGATAACTGTAGAACTTTTTCATGATACTGTGCCTAAAACTACTGAAAACTTTCGTTCACTATGCACAGGTGAGCGTGGTCATAGTCAATGTCCTTTGTATTACAAGGGGGTTCCATTCCATCGAATCATACCTGGATTTATCGTACAAGGTGGTGACATTTTGACAAAAGATGGTCGTAGCAATGTTAGTGTTTTTGGATTTCCCTTTACAGATGAGAGTTTCAAGGGAAAAGCAGGAAAACATCTTCCAGGCACCGTCGCAATGGCACACAGTGGTCCCAATCAAAATGGCTCGCAATTTTTCTTTAATTTAAAAAGGAATGAACATTTGGATGGAAAGTATGTTGTATGCGGGCAAGTATTAGAAGGATGGGATGTGGTGGAGCGGGTGGCGGCTTTGTGTGGATCACGCTGTGGTGTACCAGTGAGTCGTGCATGGATCACGGATTGCGGACAAAGCAGCGGTGCAAAGCTTGAGGAAACAGAGAAATCTCTTGCTGGGGAACGCACCTTGCACTCTATGCCTGGGAAGGAGGTTCTAGACCTTATTTCCCCACGATACTAAGGCTACAATGATTGAGGATTTGTTCCTTTCCCTCTCTTTTTTTGTTTGTTTATTTTTGTTGTTATGTGTTTTTGTTCGATCTTATACGTTTCTGATTTTAAATCAATTTTGTTTAACTTCAGCACGTTACTTTTTCTATAATTTTTGGTTGCTTGTTTGTTTGCGTTACTCTTATTAAGGAGGAAAGAAAAGGGCTTTCTGTCGTTGTGTGCTGTAAATGAGAAGCGGGAGCAAAAGAATCGAGAGAAGGCTGAGAGGCATCCACCTACGTGGTGGTGGTTTTGAGGCGCAGCGTAGAACGGCACGAGGGGCTTGGGTACGTACAGGAAACAACGAAGTCAGGGATTCCATGTTGCACCTTATTGCTGAAGCCGCGTCAGGATACGGAGAAGAAGAACACAACACCTTGAGCACTGAACGTCTTGTTACCGAGATGGGTCTGATGAATATGATGCAGGCTTCGCTTCCTTCGACACAGAAGCTGCAAACCATACCGGTTTTGCACGCTTGTGCATTCTCACATGGGAGGTCTGACAGCGCTGCTGGGCGGGTCAAATACCCTTTTTATGGCAAGGAGAAGGCTCAACGCGTTGATGAAAATATTTTTCTTCAAAACGACATTTTGCATCTCGTACTAAGCTTTTTGCCATGGCGTTGTGTGCTGCAAGTGCGAGGCGTGAACAAGAAGTCACTTTTACTCTCCTTGTCGTTTGTGACAGTGTGCCGACTCCCTCACAGTGATGTGCCTGCTCTTTTTATTCCGTGTCACGAAGATCTCATGGCGAATGAAGGGAGGTTGGAAGCTGAACTGTCTCCTACGCGTGGGTTGTGTGACGCATTAAGATGTGGACCTTTGTCCGTCTCTCCTTCAGCGGACGTGAGAGCACGTGAAAGCCCAAGCTGTAATCATCAGCGCATGTTCGTTGGTCAGCTGCGCCGTGATGGTACAGTGCCCATGATCAAGTGGTTCTTACTGACGATTTTGCAAATGCCTCCTGAATCACTTGTAGCTGTAGAAAACCACCGAAACCGAGCCTCTAAGCGGGGAAAGGGGTGCGTATGGTTAACTTTACGGGACAGGGCGGCCTCAGATGTCCTTTCTTATCACCATCGCGTCTTCTTTGACAGCGTGTGGAACGTGGAAGGAGTTTGGCTGGTCCCGCCCAGCTATGAAGAACAGCTCTTTGCTCTCGCCAGCGTCCGAGGAAATCAAGCAGGGAGGTCGAAACACTTGCCACGTGGCACATTGGTTGTGGAAATGCCAACCTCTGCAGTTTCCCCAGCTACGACACCAGTGTTACTGTCTCCGGTGTCAACAGCCCAAACCCCTGTGGCCCCATCTCCGACTTCATCTCTTTTCCCTCAACGCGCATTTCCAAGCTCAAAAAATCGCCTGAAATTACGAGGGTCATGGCGGTATAATCCCTATTCCTTCACTTCTCCCATTTCCTATATTTTTCCACACTAACAATTTTTTTTTTTTTGCTTTGCACCCCCCATTAGACTCTACCCCACTCCTTTTGACTAACACGTAGTGAGGGTGGGGGCCTTATTGCGTACAGGAGCGTAATTTAAAAAAAATATAAACGATATGTTTTTTTTTTTTTTTTAGTATTGCCACTTTACAATTTGGGGAATGTGGAAGCTGCCTTGGCTGATTCCAATGCCCAATTCTGCGTGCTATATAATTAATCAAGGAGGACCAACATGCGTCTTGAGGTGGTGGTGCAAAGATGAAAACGAGTGACAATGATAATGGTGATTGAAGTAGTTTATGTGTACTGTTTTGAAACGCATGTGTCGGAACCTGAAAATGGGTAGATGGGGTCATCAACGACGGATTTGCAACTATGTGTGGTCGCAGCTCCGCCTCAGCAGAGAACAACATGTGGTGCTACCTCCAGCACACCATCGCTCATGGGAACTTAGTAGCTTGTGTTTAGACGGCAAATGAAAACAAACGATGTTGACAAGGCGAACGAAGATGTGAAGAAGAAAAGGCGCCCCCCTCCCTCAATACAGAAAAAAAAGGGGGAAAACGATACTAATGCGCATGAATTTATTTCGGAAGAGCGTGGAAGCGCATGTCTTGCAAACTAAGGGCGTATTGTGTACTACTATTATCCATCTTTATTCCTGGCTTTTGCTTTTGAGTTTGGTGAAACGTAACTGCAATGAGGGAACGATACTCTCCATTGCTACCCTTGACGCATCTTTGCACCTTCTCCATCTTTGTTGGAATGTATCACTCTCTCCCATATACACCCATATACTTTGGTTTGTTATGATTGTGACCCGTATATACTTGCTGTGTTATATACATATCTATATGTATATGTATGTATATGTATGTATACACGTCCACCTATATATTATATATAATATATATATATATATATTATATATATACATCGTTGACCGTACATAGATGTTCTTTCAACGAGAAATACATTTTTTTTAAAAAAAAGTTTTCATTTTTATTTTCATTTTTCATTTTTCATTTTTCATTTTTCATTTTTCATTTTTCATTTTTTATATTTACTTCCTTTTCTTCTTTTTGTTGTTGTTTTCTCTTCCTCCATGCAAAAACAAAAACAAAATTACCTTTTTTTTCCCTTTGCGATCCTATGCTCGGTAATTACTGCGAGAATATGGAAAACGGAAGAAAAAATTAGACAACGATATACACAGCGAATAATCGCCGCACGGGGACGATATGCCGCAACTAACACGAGGTGGAAATGCAAGCGAGAATAAGCGGAACAAAATTTTTCTGCTTGTTTTAGGCTGCTACGTCCGGTGCCGTTGAAAAGCATATGCGCCGACCGGCTGTGCACGCAGCGGCGGTACATTGAAGGGTAAAAGCAGTGAGGGACAAAAACCGACACCAAAAGTGTTCGGGGATGGGGAAAGAGAAATAAAAGGTATTGGTGTAATGGCATAACTTGTTTCTGCGGCTCCACGCCACTACTGCTTGCGTTCGTAAAAAAAAAAAAAAATAATGGAACATAAACAGAAGAACAATTATACGAGAAACACAAAACTGGTCGACATTTTTTTTTTTTTCTCTATTGTTTCTTCTTGTCGTTGGGTGTCGCTGGCAGTTTAGTTTCTCTGGGAGAAGCGGACGTCAAAAGCAGTTACCGCCCCGTTCGGCGTTATCCTTCTATTTGGTGTATTCACCAGGGAGGAATCCTTGGTGGTGGTGCTGCAATTAGTGCAAAGGTGGGTGATATCCATCTCCGCAAGGAAATAAAAAGGCAACCACAAGAAAGAATCCAAATAGAGAGAAAGAGAGCGACGTAGCTAAAAAAGAAGGGATAACTATTATATAAACCGTTTATAGTGCAATCAAGGAAGAGCGAACACGAAAAAATGCCTACGAATGACTGCGTGCTCATGGACAAAATTATTGAGGGAGATGGTAAGACAATTCCGTGCCAGGGCAGCATTGTGACTCTTGACTACGTTGGGTTTCTGCCAGATGGCAGAAAGTTTGACTCCACCATTGAGCGTGGAAAACCGTTTGTGTTCCGTGTAGGGTGTGGTGAGGTCATCAAGGGGTGGGATGAGGGAATTGTGCAGATGTCAAAAGGTGAGCGGAGCCGTTTGACGATACCACCGTCTTTGGCATTTGGATCCACTGGCTTCCCCGGCATGATTCCCCCCGACACTGTAATTGTTTTCGAGGTGACACTACTGGACGTCTCTTGAGACGGGCTGCGCAGGGGAAGGCGGACGCACAGACATATGTAAATGTACGAAAAAAAAAAAGGCGATGAAGGAAGGAAAATGAAGAACGAGAAAAAGAGAGAAGAAAGAGATAACAATACATAAATGTTACATCTGCTTTTTGATCTTTTTTCCTTTTTTTTTTTTTCGTCGTTGTTGGCTTTTTTTTTCTTACTGGCAGACCTGTTATTTACAGATGAAGCCGTGTGTGTATTGCTTGAAATTACCAATATGTGTGCCTGGAAGGAGTTTGCGCGGCGTCGTTTGGAAAAGGAAGGCTGCAAGATATATATATATATATATCTTGTGTGGGTTTTGATTTTGCTGTCTTTTCATACGTTGATGATCACTTGTTTTTTTTTCTGCTTGTTGTTTCACTGTAGTTGGGAGCTTGGAATAAATAAACGTGATGATATCAACTGACACTGCGACAACGCAGCCAGAGACGGCAGATCCTGGTGTAAGCAACGTTGTCGTCCCACCCGCTGATGTGACCAGGTTTTCTTTCCTGCGGCGGTTCCACTTTAACGAGTTTAAGTCCGCCGTGATTGTGGAATTTATAGGAACCTTTCTTTTGGTGCTTACCGTTCCACTTAGCAGCATCAACAACCCCGAGATGGCGCCGTTTTCCGTCGGCTTTCTGCTCATGTCGCTGGTGTTTTCCTTTGGGTACATGAGCGGAGGACACCTTAATCCGATGGTATCCTTTGCTGTATTTCTTAGTAGCGCCAAGTTTGGAAAGACCCGCATGCTCTTTTACTTTATTGCACAGATGCTTGGTGGGGTGGCCGCTGCTTTCTACTGCGTTTTGATTCACGGGAATGAGTTTCCCGTACCGAATATGGGATTGAACTTTGTGCAAATGTTGCGGGCCTTTTTGGCTGAAAGCGTCTTTACTTTTGTCTTAACATCTGTCGTTCTGCACGTTGCTGTGAGCAAGCAACGCAACAATAATTTTTACGGTTTTGCTATAGGCTCTGCCGTACTTGTGGGTGGGTTGACGTGTGGTTCAATTTCGGGTGGGGCCTTTAACCCCGCTGTTGCCACCGCCTTGATAGTTGTTCGTTGCTTTGTGTCCTTCTCCGAGTCAGGTTGTACCCCGATGGCATCGCTGTGGGTGTATTGGGCCTCTGAAGCGGTGGGGTCGATCGTCGGCACCATTTTGTACCTCGCGGTGCAGAATGTGGAGGAGCACTTCTGAGCACAGGCGGCAGCAAGCACCGTATGAAGTGGGCGAAGTACCAACAAAACAGGAGTGGCGGGGTGTTTCCACGGGGGTGTGATGTCGTTCCTACTGCTCTCTTGCAAAAAGTGCGTGCGCGAAATTCGGTCAATCGGTCCAATTACGTTAGCAAGTTATTTTGAACTAAAAAAAAGTCTTACAAAAAAAGTGAAAATATCATATATTTTTTCCTATTGGTTAGATCCTACCGCAACACACACCACCTTCTGAGAGTGAAGCCTCGCGTGTGCATAACGTTTGCTTCTTTGCGTGTAGGGATCAGAAAGTAGGAAGGCGCTCCACACATTCTTCTTCGTTTTTGTTTCTTTGCATTTTTTTTTTTCATAGATCGTTCTTTCGAGAGCAGGAATAATCATCTATGGCAGCTCTTACGGACGAGCAAATTCGTGAGGCATTCAACCTCTTCGATGCCGACGGCTCTGGCGCCATTGATGCAGAGGAGATGGCCCTGGCAATGAAGGGACTCGGGTTTGGCGACCTGCCGCGCGACGAGGTGGAGCGGATGATCCGCACGATGTCCACGGACTCCAAGGGCCTGATTGGGTACAGCGAGTTTGAGCGTGTGGTGAAGTCACGCATGGCGAAGAAGGACTCACCGGAGGAGATACTGAAGGCATTTCAGCTGTTTGACCTCGACAAGAAGGGAAAGATTTCGTTTGCCAACCTGAAGGAGGTGGCCAAACTGCTGGGAGAGAACCCTGGCGACGAC